TGCTTCTAAATTCAAAGGCCTCCTAAGTCCAGATTCTCTTCTCAATCCCTCTATGACCGAATCCTAAGTATCATTTTACTGTCGATAGAATCCACTGTATCTACCTCAACATTCTCCACCCGTTGATCTCTGGAAGTTCAACACTAACACCATCCCTGCTAGCTTCCGAGTGTGGCATTATTCTCTGAAGGGCAACTTCACATTTACTTCTGGTTACAACTTTGGAATAAGGGATGCTTCTCCTCTGAGATCATTTTTCCTATCCTCGTTTACCTTTAATTGGTCTGCTTCCCATGTTTATATTGTTGTAGATCGAATTAAATATATTTGTTTTTATTGAATAGTTTATATTGTATTGTTATTCAATAAAAATATATTAAATTAAATATAAAAGTTAAAATTTCATTCAATTTAATAAATTTTAATCAAAATTTTGTATTTCATTTATTCTTTTTTATTTTTTATAATTTTTTTGTTAAAAAAATACGATTCGATTTTCGTTATACGTTCATTCTTAAATAAAAATCTATAATAATATTAATATAAAATTTAATATAAAATTTTAAAAAATATCTTAATATTTTTAACATAAAATTACATCGAATAAACAAAGCAATAATTAATATATAAATTTATATATAAATTAACTAACAAATCTTTTTTAAATCTTTTTTAACTTTTTAAAAATATGTACATATCATTTATTATATTTATTTACAAAGAAAATAAATAATATTAGTATAAAAATATATCTAAATTATTAATGGTTCTTCTAAAATATTATTTTATTTGAAAAAGTTAATTTTAAAACATTAAAAAAATTAATAGCAAATAGTTGGTGTTATGTGTGCGGATGCATAGTTAATTTCTAATAAAATCAATAAATTCAATATTTTTTTTATATATATCATGACTATACTTAATGGGTGAGAGTATGTGGTATAAATCAAAAAATATTTTTAAAAAATTAATTTGTAAGTAATATATTAAAGTTAATGGATTGTAAAAATAATTAAAAAAATTATTCTAATAGAATTTGATTATATCATGAATAAGTAAATAAAACACGTAAATTCTATTATTTAATTAATAATTTATTTTAAAAAAATTGTTTGAAAATCCATATATAGAGAAAAATAAATCATATTTATTATTAAATAAAATTACTTAAAAGAGAAAAATCAAAAATTAATTTAATGGGAATTTCGATAAGAAATGAAAAAGTGAAGAGATCAATTTTAAACAATAAAAATAATATAATTCGATATATATATATATATATATATATATATTTGCTAACTTTAAATTTAAAAACATAGGGGTTAAAAATATCTTTGGAAAAGACAAAAACATTTGGAAAAAATGAAGGAGCAAAATAGAATAAAGTGAAAACACGAGGTTGCCAAAATATTTAAAAAAACAAGGGACCAAAAATATCTTTTAAAACCATCAAGGACCAAGATAAAATAAAATATAAAATTTGCATTTGCATGCCTAAAAATAGCTAAGAAATCACAAAATACCACTGTAAAAAAATTACCAAAATTATCACCCAATAAATAATGAATAAATAGTGATTTATAAAGGACCGAATAGCAATTTGATGCGGCTCTTTATGTTAGTGAGTTGGCAATATGGTGGTGACTCGGCAAGTCAAATGGGCGATTAGCGGCATTAGTTATCAAAAGGAACTAATGCTAAAGTCGTTAGGAATTAGAAAATTGTTAGTAGTTAGTTGAGCGATTAGTTGTAATTATTAGTTAATAAAATGGAGTGAAGAGAGTGTGGAAAAGTTAAGTTGTGAGGTAAGCGAAATTTTCTTCCTCTTCATCTTTCTAGTTTCTCTCTAGTTTTTTTGCTCTTTTCCCTTTGTATTTCTACTTCTTTTCCGGTCCTTTTAATTGTTACTCTTTTACCATTTGTTTTCATTGATTATATTGAAACTCAAGTATTGCAATTAAAGTCTCATTTGAATAAGAATCTTTAGTCTTTCTACATGTTCCTTGCAAATTATAGTGTTTTTCAACCGATTAGGAATTGAACTACATCAATTGATAACGGAGCAAATCTTGGCACTTGTGGAAGATTGAATTTTAGTATCAATCGGAGCAATTACACATATTGGTATCAAAGGTAGAATCCCTAATTAGGTATTTCAACATTTACGAGTTGAATATTTTGGGTGTAATGGTAAATATCATGGAAAAATCGATTACAAGAAGCCATCATGGACCCAAATCATTGTGACTAATATGTTGGTAGATAAATTCTTTTTATCTTAGAAAATGAAGAAACAATAGAAAGCAATAGCAAATTGATAGTTTTAGATCCCCATGAACCAAGTAAAGGTGAAATCATCAATTGGAGTTCCATGTGAATTCAAAAACCAACCCATCAACTAAAATAACACAGCAAAGTTGAATCAAGATTTGTATGAAACGGCTCAAGAATTCAATTAGAAGCTTAAGGTGTTAAAAAAGTAGATTCTCGAGTGTTTGGAGTCTACGAACAAAAAAATTTGTTGCCACTTACAAATCAACAAGAAACAAGTCTTATAAAATCAAAAAGTGATGTTTTATCTTCCTTACATACCTAAGAATCAGGTCGGATTGAATCCAAGTCTCGTATTACAAATGTTGATTTTATTAATCGTGTGGGTTTTAATGAAATAAAGGATAAAGAAGATGATAAATTTATTCTTAATTCTATTAATAAAGCTAAACAAGAGTATTTAATTGATATTAAGAATAACAATGTTGTGATGATTGTGGGGTTTAATATGTGGCATTGAGCAAGATGAAATTTTTGAATTTTGATTTTGAGAATGAGAATGTTGTTGGATATGAGATTGTAGGTGAAAATGGTTGTATTGGATGTAATTCCCTATGCCAAATTTTCTATCGGAGCAATTTCAAGGACTTTTATCTTCTTAATGTATGCATGGTGAGGACATTGAACCTACAAATGGGTCTCCTTGATTTAAAAATTCAGGGGTTGCTACATTAGAAAAGGAGGGTATATCTAATTATGTAATTATGCTCTAGAAGGTTTACAAGAAGAATCAAATTGTTCATTTGAGTTTTGTAGGAACATCAATATCACCCTTTTGAAATAAAAGTTGGCATTGAATTGTAACTAGAAGATGGATTTAGATTTGAAGCAACAATCTGCTCATTAGAGCTTAAGGAGAAGTTGAATGATAAGAATGAGATGATTAGTGATAATTCCTTGTGTTGTTTTCAAATTGGTGTGTATATGGTAGAAATTGAATCCACAAATGGCCTCCTTTGGCTTCATTTATCAAAAATTAAGCTACTATAAAAGAAGGCTTTGTTGCAAAAAGCTTATGGATTAGGAAGCAATTGTAGCCTTGTGTCTCAAGATGAGTACACTTTACTTACAAAGGACCGCTATGATAATTTTTTGGAAGATTAATTGAAAATGCATTTCATAGCTTTGGAACTCTTTAAAAGAATTACTAGAACGAAAATTATGTTTTTGAACAAGCTGTGGATTGTTGTTGTGGAAGAGCTTGACATGGGTGAATGTACCGAGTCAACAATTTTTAACTTTGATCTTGGAAGTTTTGGCTTGAGTGAGCTTCTAGCAGAAATGGGTAAGCTTCCAACAAGATTTGGCTCGGTATCTTTAGGGCTATTTCTTTTACAGGACATGGTAGTTGTTCCTCTCTTGAGCATACTTTATATGCTACAAAACCATAATTTGGTGGAGAAAAGTATTTGGCCAATACTTGCCCAAAAAAAGTCTAAAGGCTTTAGATGTTCTTGGATAGCTTTCTCTTGGGAGGAAATACCTTCTAGAGATAGCTTTGGAAGTTATTGTAGAAGCAAAAAGTTCAAAAGCATTTGTTGCTCTTTGCTTGCGAACACTTAAGGACAGCAGAAGGTTCTTCATTTTAACCTTGAGGATAGGTTTCTTGAGAGGAAGGGTATTGATGCAACTATTTATATTAGTGAGCTGGCAAAGGTACGGGTTGGTAATATGGTGGCGACTTTGCAAGTGAAATGGGCAGTTGGCAGTCTTAGTTGTCAAAAAGAACTAATACTAAAGCTGTTAGTAATTGGAAAAGTTGTTAGTAGCTATTTGTAGTTGTCAACTAATAAAAGGGAGTGAAGAGAGAGTGGAAAAGTTAAATTGTGAGGTTAGCAGAGATCTTCTCCCTCTTCATTTTTCTAGTTTCTCTCTAGTTCTGCTCTTTTCTATCTGTATTTCTTCTTCTTTTTCAGTCACTTTCATTGTTACTCTTTTAACATTTGTTTTCATTAATTATATTGAAACTCAAATATTACCGTTAAAGTCCCATTTGAATAAGAATCTCTAGTCTTTCTACTTCTTCCTTGCAAATTTTAGTATTTTTCAACTGATTAGGAATTGCGCTGCATTATAATTACTATTCACTTTCTCTATTTCTTTGAGATGTTTTTGTTAATTGTTAATGGCTCCTCCTTTCGCAAGGTTTAACCTTTCCCGTAAGCCATTTAATAAACCTATCACAATAACTTCCAGCAAACCAATGCCAGCTTCATCATAAAACGCAACTAAATGCTATCCCCTTTTGCCTTTTGACATGAAGGTGCTAGCATGCAATATAACGCAAAAATGTGGAGGCACGTTCTTTTTTTCCCCCTTTTAATTTCACAATCCCTTGTGCTTCATCAATATAAGAGTTGAGACATCTAAACACTGATAAATTTTCCAAGCAAGTCAGTTTTAATTAATATCTGCCTACCAATCATGCAGAACTACAACTAGACGAGATGGTCAGAGATCATCACCACATTCAAAGAGAACATTAGCTTGGAATAATCTTTCTAATAAGACATTCAGTCCCCTCAGTAGCAAGGAGGGGACATCAAATACAATTGGAATAAGACATACATGATACATCTGAAGAACGGTACGTAGATTTCAGAAGCAAAACAGCCATAGCATCAGTCGCAATTGGAAACAAAACTTTACAAGGGGTCTTCTTCCTCTCTTCAATGCAATTTGATGCGGTCAAGACTCTCAGACACGGTTCTCATCCTAGGACGCAATTCAGGGTCTAGTTCTGTGCAATTGAGTGCAATATGAAACACAGCAACAACTTGTTTCTTTGCGTGAACCTCACTTAATAGTGCTGGGTCTATAATCTCTGACAAGGGGCGTTCCTCTCGAAACACCTTCCTCACTAGACTCTCTAGTCCCTTACCATCATTTTCCGGTCCAGCATTAGGTAGCCGACCAGTTAAAAGCTCCATCAGTACAATTCCAAATGAGTACACATCGCAATTCTGAGTGAACTTGCTGCCAGAGACTCGAGCTTCTGGTGCCAAGTAAATGTCAGAGGGAGCAGAAACTTTCAAGCCCATTGCCGAGGAAATGGCTTGGTTTAAATACTGCTTTCTGGATGCCGAAGTTGTAAATTTTGCGCCACTCGAGACAAGACGAGTGAGCCCAAAACTGGAGATGTAAGGATGGAGTTCATCATCAAGCAGAATTTTAGTTGATTTTAAGTTGCCATGAACATACTTTCGAGGGATGTGCTCATGTATGTGCATTAAACCCCGAGCAGTTCCTTGAGCAATTTTCAACCTTGCTGCCCATGATAGCAGAGTCAAAGCATTAGAAGGTCCTCCTGCAATGTTAACACCACATGGAGATTAATTAACATTGCTAATTGAAAATGCCACTTCAAAGGCTTTCATAAAGGCTCCAAGGGAAATAATAGCAACAAACGATTGTTGCAAGCACAATAATACCAATGCAGATTCTGTTTTATCTTTTAAGACGCAAAAAGGTACTTCATAGGCATGTTTTAAAATCATATCAGCTAATATGAGAAGATTATTCAGTGTACTAAGAAATATCAGATATCATTTACTCTGCAGAAAAATATATAAAAAAATAAATTTCCGTAATTTGGAGTCCGAATAGCACCCTATGATGCATGATGAATCATAGTCATACAAACACGAAGCCTGCCCAGTGGTCCGTATTTTGGATACATGTCACTGGGAAATATCAGTCACCCACGAGGGCTATTAAAATCTTGAAGTCTTGTATGTATAGAAACAAGCTTTGGTAGATTGAGAGGACCACAGCATTGAATATAAGTCCAGCGGCTAATGACCATTCATGTCCTAGAAATCATGTGAGACAAATACTTAAAATGTTTTTAGAGAAGAAAACAACCACAATGATGCCCCAGGAATATCAGAACAGGAGTTATTACTGCTTCAAAGAAGAGGACATTTCAAACTTCCACAATATGACCGAAATATGTATTTGAGTATATTTTTGTGGTTGAAACATCCACAAATCTTGGAATGTGATATCATCCCATTCCACAACTGGAAGACGTCAAATTGCCCCCCAAATAACAAAGTACTTGAATTTCAAATATTTAGGGTCAAGCATTGTCGCAGATCCTTCCCTGTTGCCAACATATGCCCCCTTGTTGAATCTTTGGTTTACTCAAAGCAATAATGAACAATCGTCAACCATTTCTCATTTTTTTTTAAAAAAAAAACACCAACCACCTCTTAAAACCAAGAACGGCAACATTTGATACTTGTCAATCGCCACAACAGGCTTGACCTTTCCAATCTCACCCCCCAACTTAAAAGCTCATGACATGTGGATTTACGACTCTGACGTGAGTGCACAAAAGAACTGATACCCAAACAGAACATGTAAAATGGAATGCAAAGCCAACATCGCAAGAAGTTATAGCAGCAAAAAGCATTTCAGAAATGTAATTAACAGTTTGAAAACTAATTGATTTGAAAGTTCTTGTTGCCTATAAAACACTAATTATACATGATCTGAATTCACTTTAAAAGAACATTACTTACATGCAAATTACAGACTTATGGGAAATAAGCATAAGAGAAGCAAGGCCAGTGATTTATATCACATGAAATTTAAGAAACGTTTTATCTTTGGAGAAAAAGGCACCATCTTTTGACACCATAACTTCATGGTAAGACATTCTTTTAAACTGATTTATCATGGAATATATTAGTACAATATATATATTGTAAAGTTTAAATACGTGGCAAAACCAACAAATGCTCCTGGAATATTGTGTGACCAAAAACAGCAACATTTTGACTGGCTAACATGTGAAGGGCACCAATGTTAAATAAACCAAAGAGAATTAGAGAAATGTTACCATGCAGCGCAGAGTATAAACTTCCATTGCGGATAAAATCAGAGACCAACAGCTTCTCATCATCAGCAAAGTAATAAGCTCTCAGCCTTAATATATTAGGATGATGGACCCTCTCAATCGCCTCAACCTCAGACTCAAACTCCTTCAACTTCCACGTGGCATCACCTTCACTCAGCCTCCTTACAGCAACAACAGTAGGCACGACCGTACCAGATCCACTCCCACCCACGACCACCTTGTACACGATGCCACTCCTGCTTTTCCCCACCACATAAGCAGATGCCCTCAACAAATCCTCTAAGTCCAAATTAAACCCTTCATCCATCACCACAAATTTACCTTTTTGCCCCTCGTCGTTAAAAGCAACCTCATTATGGTCACTCTTTTCTATCTTTTCCTCCTTTCCCATTTTACCCTCATCAGGCCCCCGTTTTTTCCGATACAGCCACACTGATACCGAAACAACGCCGACCACCACCGAAACGCCCGAGATTAAGGGAACTGCTACCGACCCCGTTTTGGTTTTCACTTTCTCAACACTCCTAGGGGAAAAAACAGGATTTGGGTCTTTTGGGTTTTCAGGATTATCACTAATTGTGATATTAACAGCTTCAGGACATGGAGTTTGTAAAGGAAACCCACAAAGACTTGGGTTTCCAGCAAATGCAGTTGGCCCTTGGTTCACTAATGACCCAACTAATGGCACTTTGCCACTAAGATTATTGTGTCTTAAATCTAAACTCACCATAACCGAAAAAAAACCATAAGACCCAGGAATCTCACCAGAAAATGAATTGTAAGACAAATTTAAAGTCCCTGCTAAGCTTTTTAGCTTAATCAAAGATTCAGGGAGAGACCCATTGAGAAAATTAGAAGATAAATCCAAGTGGGTTAACTCTTGTAAAGACTCAATCTTGGCAGGAATTGGGCCTGAGAGAGAATTATGAGACAAATCCACAAAGCGGAGAGTTGATGCATTGAAGAGATGTGAAGGTATGAGTTTAGAGAAGTTGTTGCGAGAGAGAGTGAGTCGAGTTAGTGAGTCAAGAAGGCCGAGTTCAGAAGGTATGTAGCCAGTAAGGTTTTTGTTAGGGAGTGAAAGCGAGGCGACTCTGTGGTTAATGCAAGTGACACCACGCCAGTGACATGGGGTTGGGTCAGTTTCGGTCCATGATGCTAGAGTGTCGGTTGGATCAGTTGTGATTGCGGCTTTGAGGGCTAGTAGAGCTAGACCATCAGTGCTAAGAGAGAAGGAGAGGAGTGAAAGGTTACTGAAAGTAATTAGAATAAGAAAGGCTGTGACTTTGAAAGGGATTAGTGACATTTTCTTTCTTTCCTTTCTGCTTTAGCTTTGAGTTTTGACCATTTAAGAGAGATTGAAGAGGAGATTTTGCAACGAGGAGTTGCTGAGGAGAATGAGTGGTTAAGTGTGAGGAAGAAGAAGGAAGTCTTAAGAGAAGAGAACGTTTTTGTGTTTGAAAGTCTTGAACTTGAATTTGCGTTTTTGTATTGGGAAAATCGAGGTAGGCGAGCACCGAGCAACATGGGAACGTGGGCAAATTTGAATTCTTATTGCCGCTGTTGTTTATGATTAGCCTCTCTACTGTCTGCACTGCACAGCTCTTTTGTTTAATTAATTAATTACTCACATTAACTTAGTTAAAAATGCTTCTTCTTTTTTTTTATTCAGATCAGTTTTTATTCATCACTGCTAAAAACATTCCATTTTTCCATTCGGTTAAAGATAGTTCATTTACAATCACAACAAAATTAAATATTAATACTTGTAATTTCTTTTATTATAAAGAAAAAGTTCGAGCTTCAATATTTTGAAAAAAGAAAAACATTAATATCAATTGCTTTATAATTTTTTTGACAATAATATTTGTATTTTGAAAATGAACATTCTACCACTTATTTTATATGGGGTATTCCAGCTTAAAATAATAAGTAAACTTATTGTAAAATTTCCTAAAATATTTATGTTAGAGAGTGAAGTTTAGAAGACCATAGGACAATTTAGAGATGAACTTTGCCTATAATAAAGCTCTAGCATGGGTATCGAGAAAGGAGAACGAAGTTCCGAAAAAGTAGTTCTTCACAAAAACAAGTCCTTTCTCGAGTTGGATAAAAAGTTAGATGGATGACGAAGAAGGGGCTAAGTTTGATTGCCCAATTTTGGGAAGATATCCAAATGGTGATGAGTGGTGGCATGAGGCATGTGTTAGGTGCATGGAATATGATTAGAAATTGATTGTGCTTTTTGAACACAAGGAAGGAAAGCTATGACTGAAATTAAAATGAACGACCAATGTGGTTAGTTTGGCAAATTAAAATTTCAAGTAATTATGATTTCTTAACCCCACAAAGAAGGATGATTATTTCATGTTCATCATCAACACAGATTCAGTAGTAATTGACAAATGACGATTGATAACATTTGAAATTATAGCTTTTCAATGTCTCTCTTTTCTGTTACTACTATATGAGAAGTTAAAATGTTATTTTTTTAATCTTGAATTTGCTACCATTCTCTAATCATTCCTTCTTTTTAGCAAAAACAATACTTTGTTTTTTAAAGAAAGAAAGAACTCTGTTCATTTCATGAAGTAAGGGAAAAAAACAAAATAATTAAGTTTGTTGTCCTACTTGCAGTTTTACCACTCAATTTTCATGTAAAATCTGTCACTTCTAAATCATAATGTTTTACAGACAAAATCATATTGTTCATTATAAGATTTGGAAGATTCATTAACTTTACTAGTAATTTTTATAGCAGTCAAGATGTTATTATCTTTCTTCTAACTCCGTGACACCATCGAAATAATAATATATACGGCCATCTTTCTTTCTTTCTTTTCCTACTTTGTATATAATAATTTTAGGATTTCTGAGACCCTTCGGGAACCAAACAGGTAAAGGCCCAGAGCATAAAGAGTAGGCAATATATTGGAAATGGAAAGTAGGGACGGGATTGTAATTGTGTTGTTTGCAGACTCTTTTGTGTCAGAAAATCATATAAAGAAGGACACATTGCAGACATGCTCGTGAGCTGCTTTTTTCAGTTTCCAGGACCAATCTCGTAAATTCAACAGTAGTTGAAAAATTCAAAAAAATCCATAAGAAACGACGATTACAAAAAGTAGAATTTTGTAATCCTCCAATCGTCACGTATCCTTTGCGGGGAGAGAGAGAGAGAGAGAGAGAGAGAGAAGACGCTTAGGCTTAGCTTAACGAAAATCAACCTAAATTATAGATTCATTAGCAGCTGGAAGCCAAAAGAATGGAGTTTGTGATCACAACAGGGCAAGAACCGGATGCCAACTTCTTAACTAACATTTCAAATCAACCATGCTAACTTCTTATGATGTTGTACTGTATAAGTTCATTATATATTTACGAATATTCTTATACTAGATTTGAAATTTTGCAATTAAGTCATTTTCGGATTAAATCCTAGACGAATCACCAACTTTCAGATTATTAAAAGTCAACATATTCATAAATAATAAAAAATTATTGTTGATAAGGTAAGGCTAATCACTTTTTCTTAATAAGGAATCGCGAGGAGTTTGTAGAAACAAGAAAGTAAAGTTGTAAGAAGATAATTTCATTAGCGATTAGCTTATCTCAAATAAATGCAAGACCAATTGATTCTTCTTTCCCTCATACATGCACTTATAATTGTTCATAAACAAACCCACGTAGGCTTAGAAGAAAATTTTTCACGAGTATTGAATAATTTCTTATCTTCTCCTTTCTTTTTTCTTTTCATGGCAATTAAGTTGTGAAGATAAGTTATGGTATGGTTATGGAAATATTAAGATCAGATGCATCTGACTCTTTAATTTGGCAGGGAGAGGAACGGAGAAAAGAAAAGAAGAAAAGACGAAGCCTAAAAGCGTAAATGGATTCTGCAAGAAAAGGGAGCAGCATATCAAAAAGTCCGGACTTTAATAAAGAAAAAAGGATTGATTTTAAACCATAAAATGTTAGAGCTGTTAGAAAGCAAGCATCAATTTATAAGATAAATTTAAGATTTGATTTTTGGTGATCATTATTTAGAATATTTGAAATCGTACATTGATGAGTACTCCTTAACCATGTCCTGATGTTTTTATTGTTGAAAAAAAGATTGATTTTAATTTATCCTTTAAGGTTTAGGGTGATTCTAATTTTTTTCATATGAGGTTTTGATTATATTAATAAATTTGATCAAATAGAATCTTTTATAGATAATTTGATGAGATAAAATATTATATTTTCAATTAAAAATTTCAAATACATATATAATTTAAAATTTAAATAAAAGATTATAAAAGAAAATACTAGAATATATATTACACTATCATTTCCATATTCATATGGCCGTTTATTACAGTTTAAAAATATTTATCAAAAAGATTTCATTTTAGTCTTTGCAATTGTTCAACAAAGTTTTTTGGTCCTTATCTTTTTTTTTTTACAATTTAGTCTTTTATTATAAAGCTTTTGACCATCAAAAGTTTTCGGGAAAAAAAAACATTTTTGATATCTAAATTATAAAGTTTATGCAATCAAATCCCTACATGCTAAATTTTTAAATATAAATAATATACATGGTATTATTTGAACCTTTTAATTGAAATAGAAGATTTTATCTCATCAAATTATTTTGAAAGGGTTCTATTTGATCAAATTTAATAAATTTAGGAACTGAAAAATATTTTTATGTTGGTTTGGGTAGCTTAAACACTGATAAGTAATTGAAACCTCAGGAAAAACATTGACATATAATTGAAACCATAAAAAAAGACATTAATACAATCGAAACCTCATGTGAAACTGGAATCTCCACAAAACTCAGGAGGTAAGTTGAAATAACCCAAGAAGAAATGGACCGGGAACTTAGAAAGTCCATCGTTTTGGATTTGAGTGGTCATCGATTTGGGGTTAAGACTTGTTACGCTCTTGGGTGTCTACTAGGCTGCTTTTAGAGATCCCAACAAGCCAAGCCTCGTTGGACAAAAGTGTGTAAAAAGAATCACTACCTGAAAATTTGAAAAACTACTTTCCTTGTGGTCCTGTCATTTATCACTTTACCCATCTTAGCATTAAAACATAACGAACTTGTATGAAATATAGGAAGGTCCTTCCAGTACTGACTGACACTGTAGTTATCTTTACCTGTTCACGAATCATAACAACGATGAGCAATGAAAACTCTGAAGTAAACTTCATTTCCAGCTAATTGTAAATCACTAGATCAACCATATTAAGTTATATGTCAAGAATTTCTCAGGTTGCAAATCCAACAAACAATCTTTCCTTCTCAGTTCCCACAGCCATCTGTTATATGAAAATCACTATAGTATGCAACATATTATAAAAAATTACAATTACATGCATATATCATGATTTTCTTTTCAGTTTCTGTAAAAAAATAATGTTAAAGTTTCGATTTACCACCTCTGGTTGCAGGTAACTGTAAGGCATCATAATGACCACAACCATAATATATAACTCTAATTGGATTTTCCTTCCCGTACTCCTGACCATACTCTGCAATGGATATCAAGCCCCCAGCATTCTTGTCATGCATGTACACAGTGATTGGCATCCTGCAGTTTTTTTTGGCTTCCATCAATATTAATGCCTCAACGAATCTTCCCTTTTCTTTTTTTCTCAAAAGTTGAAGACAAGTAAAATTAAAATCATAACACTAAATTGTATGATCACATACTCCTTTTCTGCATGCAAATTGCTACTATTTTCAAAGAATGCATATGCGCATATTCTTTTTTCCTGGTAAGGAACGAACAGATTGAGAGAGAGGTCCTTACTTGAGAACATGTGAAGCCATTAACAACTCAGGTTCACCACCCCACACATGTGGCTTCCTCATTTGTGACACATAGGTGTCAAAATAGCCTTCTATAAACCTGTTGGAATTATGAAGCTGTCAGACAAATTTATACATAAAACTTCACCATTGATGGTATATTTCTTCGATGTGATATCACATGCCCCGACAAATAGCATAAGTAGTTCAGATTCCATGTAAACTTGATTTATTTATGAAGGCATGAACTGCTTGAAAAACTTTGTGAGCAAAATTCATGGGCATGATTGAACCTATTAAAAACATTGACAGCAAAGTGGCATCAGTACTCCGAAAACCAGTTTTCATGATTTGCCAACGTGAATCTAAGTTCTTAACTTTTTTAGTTTCTGTTAAGAGCGGTGCTATAATATTACACAAATTGGATAATGTTGGTCCGCTTATATAGCATTCATTAGCTATAAAATATAGTGGAGAAAATGGTTAAAGTGTATAACCAAAAATTCTCACCATTCTGTCTCTTCCCTTCTCTTGATAAACTCATCAGCAACCTGGCCAATTTAACAAAACATCACAAATCAGGAGTCCTATAAATACAAAATATTGCAAATAACATGCCCTGGGATTGAAAATTTAAGAATATGACAAGGTGATGGCTAATATCACGGTGTTTGGCTTTTATCAAGCAAAAATTGTTATATCTTTAACATTTTATAAGACAAATGTTGATTTTTCTCTTAAAAGCACAATAGATGAAATGGCAATAAAAAAAAAAAAAAAAAAAACAACCAACAGAAAAGGCAAATTCACAAAATATAGATGATGATCAGGCAACAGAAACAAAATGTCACACTTCTTATTATCAAGATGAAAAGGCATAAAAAAGATACTTCAGAACGCAAGTCGTCTGCTAATTCTCTCTGAAGGTTTTCACTTGGAGCTGGTTTCCCAGACCGTAAACAAGCCCCATGAACCACAGAGCGGAACAAACATCTACCATCTCCTGGTATTCCTGCGCAGAGTGGACATTGACACTTCAAGACACAACAAACTAGAATAAAGGTTTGTCAAGAAACCAATTTTAATATGTAAAGTTTGGTGATAATAGCGATATGTGGGTGTACCACTAACATACGGTATATAGACTGGACAATAAATTGATGCTCACCAATAATGGAATAGTCAGTATAGACTTCCTTCCCATGTGAGAATGTAACATCTGATAAAGTGCAATTGTCCTCTTTTTTGTTCTTCTGAGTAGCTGCTTCAGCATGTGTTGGCTCAGAACTTGAATAACAGACCAGAAGACCACAAATTATACCAGTGGTGGTATATCCTTGTGACCAAGAAATAGATCCCACATTATCCTCGATTTTGGATAGCACTCGTTGTTTTGAAACCGAAAGCCTCACTATCTTGTTTTGGCATTGCAATGAAATATTGAGCTGTCTCTTCAGAGGACCTCTAGAATTAACTAAACCGTTTACAGTTAATGTTTGCAAATTAGCCCTTTGCTTGGTTAAGCTGGATACAAAACAGTTTCTACGAAACGTATGAAAGCTAATTGATGGACAAGAGAATGTCTTTGAGACAGACAAGCGAGAATAATTTGATCTGGAACGACCAGGGTACAAAGAAAAACAGCAAGAAGCGGATTTTCCACCAGACACCACATTCAAAATAGTGCTGCCCATTTGTTGAACACGGCCACTCAGGTGGACAACATTCTTCACACATGTACTGATGGGAGAGCAGACAATCATGCTGGCATAGCCTGAAAACATGCACAAAGCACAACACTTAAGTGGCCAACTAGTAACAGGCATCTCCTAGATGAAGACCGATGTAGAGGGCTATAACCCTTAATTCACGTCCTTCATGCATAGAGAGCCTTTTTCATAAACACACATAATATATATAAAACAACACTGGCATATATATATTTCTGCATACTCAAAAGTTTTCACTTATCAAAACTCATGAATTGTACCAGGGCTCTGGATATGACAAGTTCTCACTTGATATCCTGAGCTCATTTTAGATTTCTTGATTGTTTGCACGACAGTCACATTAGCTGAAGATTTGATGCCCCCCTAAAAACAAAATCCTAACTGCAAGGACGAAACTAAGAAATCATAGGAAAATTTGAATTGTCATGTAAAATTATACAGCCCTGGTTTTCTTCCTTAATCTATTCCATAGCAATATAACTAATCTCTTCAGTGAAATAAATCAATATTAACACAGCAGTCAAGGATATAGAAGCAGAGATACTAAGTTCACAGCATTAAACGAACATTCAAATGTCAAGTTTGCACAACTAATAAAAGGTACAATATTCGGTCTCACTCTTACTTTCATAGAGTCACTTTTCAATTTCAACCCAACAACTTGACATCATAAAACAATTAGCTTATGGAAGCCTAATGTAAGATCATTTTTCCTCAATATCCACATTCCCCTCGAAGTTTATATGATTTATCAGGCTCAAATTAACAAAAATAAGAAATCCTCAATTTCCACATTCCGTTCACTCTCTTATAAATCAAACCCAAACCTGTCTTGCCAAGAATCTTCAAATAAGAAATCCTCAATTTCCACATTCCCTTCACTCTCTTCTAAATCAAACCCAAACCTGTCTTGCCAAGAATCTTTCTTTCTTATCAACATCTTAAACTACGCCTAAGGTCTAGTCAACAGACCTCAGAGGATCACCATTCTAATTATTTCTTTTGTGCCATTTAATTAATATCAGCATTGCCAAATTTATAAAAAAAAAAATCATTTCTTTTGTAGTAGTATGCAATTCTTATAATTTCCACTCTACAATAAAAGAAAAAAGTACGCTGGACAATTGACAGCTTCTTTTGTCAAAATTTGCACGAACAGGGAAAAAACCAACATGATTAGAAACAATTACACAGAAATGTAGAAGAGAAAAGGCAAGAAATAAAACCTGCAGAAGTAACCAGCAACAGCGAATGGATTTAAGATTTGAAAGCAGTATCTTACAAGTAAAACAAAACCCACAAAGAAAAGCAACAAAAAGGCTATATTTTGTGTGTAGATTCTAGAAGAAATAAGAGAAGATAAAGTAAAGACGAAGGGTTTTTTAAGCAAAGAATTATACATACCTGCCTTAACTAAGAAAACAACAAGCTACAAAAAAAGAAGCCTCAGCAACGGATGCTTTTCGTTTGGGTTTGTATTGTTGAATAAGTTGTCCACTTATTTATTTTTATTTTTTCCGGGTGTTTCTTGTGGTTCGGTGAACTAGAAGCTGTCCACAATATGCTGTCCCACAGCCTTGCTTTCGTTCTGGTTCAGACAGGAAGCGACTAGTCGTGCTCCTTAGTTTTCAGACTTGGAATGTTCATTACCGTTTACTTGATGTACGGAAGTGTTAGATACGACGTGTCGTTCAATCAGATAAGTGGTTCCGTTAACAACTGACAAGGAGGTGGACGGACTCGTTCCTGTTTTCTGTTGGTGATTTGGATGCTTGCAAAGCCTTTTTACCAAGCTTAATTATATTCTTGCAGGAGGGAAGAATTAATTTCCTTTTTTGTTTCTTTTAGTTTTTATAGGTGATATTCAGATCGGATTGGACATATCTAGAATATATTCACTTTTTTAATCGGACATCTTAAAGTCTGAATCCTGGTAGCCAAAAAAAAGGCAACATAACCCTTAAATCACTCATTGAACCCAAAAAATGTGAATATTATTGTTCTTAGCACATAAAAAAACATAATTAATTGATAAAAATTAACTCAATAAATAAATAAATTTATTATAAATTAAGATGAATAAAAAATTAAAATTTTTTACCTTGATCTTTAGGAAAATTAAGGATTTATTATATGACTTTATAGTGAGAGATCAAAAATAAAAAAATTAAAAAAAATATTTATTTTCCTAAAATAATGCTACTATTCTTTTTTTCTAAAAAAGAAAATACGAATGTTGCTGTATGTTTTTTTTTTCCTATTATATTACAAATAACATGGGGAAAGTGCCCTATATATAGGCTATAGGAATAAAACTCGTTTAGAAAATGAATGCAACTATGAGCCACTCATATTTTATTACTATTGAAGAAAGATATTTTCACTCGTAAGTAATTTTAAAATTAAGAGAAACAATTTTAAGTGATTAGTTTAGAGGTTATGGAGATGTATATATCTTTTTTAATTTTTTAAATTTAAATCTTAAAATAGTTTACCGAGATATGATTTTGATTCACATACAAACTAATTTAGTAATATCTTCAACGTCAATTTTTTTTTTAACAAAGACCATTTTTAAAATATATAACAATAACTATTAGTTAGCTCATGTTTTGATTTACACTCCAAAATTTATATTTTTCATAAATAATAGTTAATAATTGTTTATTTCAACCTTGCCATAAGGGAAAAAACATGACGTCGAGAGTCGAGCAAAAGCTTAAGAAAAGGATAGGAAAATAAGAAAGAAGTCGTCACTTAGTATTGGAGAAACTAGAAAACCCAAAATAACTAGTTTGCACGGATATTTAGATAAGGAGTTGGTTAAAAGTAGGAAAGGTCGAAATCACTACCACTCCATCCTACTTGAGATAAGTTGCATTGCATGTATGCAAAAACTAAATATCTAGTTTTACTATACCACGAGTTTATGCCTATTTGAATGAATTCATCTTATTAGAATAAATTAATCAAGTGATTTATGAGTTAGGCCGATCGAAGGTTTATATCCACGCTCTAAAATAAAATGAAGAAAATGTTCAAGAAATGATGAGCCTTAATGGTTTTATGCCCATAACACATTGGTTTATCATATATGTACAATCATATTTGGTTGTGTAAAACACGGCTTGAATTTTTGAAGTCAATATAGCATAAACACACCTCACATTTAGACATTATATTCATTCAATCAAAACATGACATTAACCTTTGAGACTAACATTGACACCAATCAATTCATCGCATACACACACATATCACATTTACACATCTCATTTATTCTTGTAAAACACAAGTATCAACCATTAAGGTTGACAACAATCACTTTGTCAACGGGGCCCACGGGAAAGCATGGGAGAGGAGTTACCACCTAGCTATCGGAGAGAACTAAGAAACCCTAAAACAAATTGGTCTATATAGATATCTAGGTAAAAGATCGGTTACATATAAATGAGTCTTAATAGCATTGAAACCAACCTTATTTCTCCTAAAACATACCTGTGGTCTCATATCCTTTCGGGTTCGATACGCAACGACTCATCTTAATCACACTTCGAATATCACAATTAGTTCAATAAACATTGTAATTATTCATAACATCCACCAGTTTAAATTGAAACTTAATAATAATATAAAAGAAATGTAAATGTGTCAAAAAAAAATTATTTGATTGATAAAATAATCAAGTTGCTTTCTTAGGAACATCGAAAAACACCTTTTTAGGTCAATGATAAATCTACCTTTTGGTAGTCATTTAATCTCAAAAGTTAACGAAATCATTCTTAAACACTCCAACAAGCTCCAATGAGTGAGGAAAATATGGTGCAACCTTCTTCAACCTTTCGATAAAGACAAAATGATGTTGTCAACGAGAGAGAAGGTTAGCACCCACTAGTCAAGATCTTCTTTTTTCTCCCTCTTAAAGATAAAATATTGTTGTCAATTGAAGAGATAAGGTTAGCAACAACAAAGCAAAAGTCTCTCCCCACTAACCATTGCTCAAAATCATCACCATCCTTCTTTAATTGAGATTTTGATTTAGGGTTTCAACGATGATTTTGTAATTTAGTTTGGGGTGGTTTTAGAAGGGTTTTAAGTTGTTTTGTTGTTAATTTTAGAATGATTTAATTCTTGGAACCGATGGCTTTTCGGCTATTTAGAGGGCTACTACTGATCGAAATTGGGGTTGTTTAGTGGGGTCGTTGATGGCCAAATTTAGGGCTATTTAGAAGGTTGTTATTGCTTGGACTTGGGGCTATTTAGAGGGATTGCTGCTTGGATGGATCGAGGGCTATTTAGAAGGGTTGCTACTAGTCGATTTAGGCATGTTTAAAAGGGTTGCTTTTAGCTGAATTTAGGGTTATTTATAAGGGTTTCTACTAGGGGCTTAGAGTCGTTTAGAGGGCTGCTGCTGACTAGGTTTAAAGCTATTTAGAAGGGTTGTTACTAGCCTGATTTGGGGCTATTTAAAAGGGATGTTGCTTGGTTGAATTTAGGGCTAAGATGGTAGGTTTTGTATGGTGGCTATGGAGCTTTTATGGAGTTGATAATGGTGACTTATGAAGAAAGTATGTATTCCCTAGATTTTATGTGTGAAAGAAAATGCCCTCCCCATAGGTTGAAGATGAAGAGAAAAATAGTCACCTCCTTTTGGAGAGAGAATAAGAGAGATTTTTAAAATTAGTTTTTAGGTTTTGGAGGAAAAACCCAATCTAGCTTTCCCTTTCCTCTTTTCTCGATTTTAAACCCTACCTCTTTATTTTTTTCTTTAGACACACTTCGATTGGAGATATTTTTTCAATCAAGCCTCCAATTAAATTTCTATTGGTCTTAATCTCTTATATCTTTTAATTGGACCCAAATCTCAATCTTTTTTTTGCTTTGATGTTGGCTGAAATTAGGGTTGTTTAACGGGGTCGATAGTGGTCGAATTTGGGACTCGGTTAGAGTGGTTGTTGTTGGTCGAACTTGGGGCTATTTATAGGTGTCGGTATTAGCTGGACTTAGGGTTGCTGCTGGCCGAGCTCGGGGTTATTTAGATGGGTTGTGCTTGGCCATGCTTAAGGCTATTTAGAGAAGCTACTGTTGGTTGGGTTTGGGGTTGTTTAAAAGGGATGTTGGCTCGATTTTGGGGCTATTTAGAGGGATGCTATTGGTCGAATTTGGGCCTAAGATGGTGGGAGTTGTGTGGTGGCTATGGAGTTTTTTATAGAATTAATGATGGTGACTTATGAAGAGAGTATTTATTTCTTAGATTTTATGTGTGAAAAACAAAAAAATGGTTCCCCCTCCCTAGGTTAGAAGAAGAGAAAAATAGTCATCTCCTTTTAGAGAAAGAAGAAAAGAGATTTTTATAATGGGGTTTTAAGTTTTAGAGAAAAAACCCAATCTAGCCTTTCCTTTCTCCTCTTTTCTCGATTTTTAAACCTTGTGTATTTACTTTTTTCTCTAGACACATTCCAATTGGACCAAAATCTTAATTTTTTTTTAATTCAACTCCTCTTTTTTTTTTTCCTTTTCTTCCTTTTTTGCTTTTTTTTTCTTTTCAAAATTCAAAATGGACGGGGTACGAATTTGAGTGTTAACAAACCTATTTCACCATATAAAAGAGGATCCAAACCCAACAATATTTTTGGATTAATGAAGAATAGAAATAAATTATAAGATGAATATATGTGGAATTTTCTCATCATTTGAAAATGAGATTTAATCTTGATTGATGCACCAATTGATCTAAAAATATTATTTACCATTAAATAAAAAATATTAGAAAAAAATATAATATGAACATATGTTATGTTTTACTAATGTTCTTACCCATCATATTATATCTAGAATTTAGATGTAACGAAGGATGCTAGAAATCAATTATCATGATATGTATTTATTTACAATATGGTTTTCTTAAAATCTATGAAAATATACTTGTCTGAAAGATGGTTGTAATTACAGTTTCGGGCATTATCGTAATGTAATGAAAATTGCATAGCTATTAACATTATAATACAGATAAACAAAACATTTAAAACGCTAAGTATCTAAAAATATATACCATATTATATGTCATACAACGTACTAAAGTTGATGTTTGTATAAATTTACTAATATAAAATATTACATGCGGATGCATACATGTTACATAGCATAAATTAATAAAACTCAATAATAATTTTAAAAAGTTTAATTTCGTAAAGTAACAACAAGGGCGAAAGCCCAGCTCTATAGCACTATAAAAAACGGGCTGTAACGTAGCAGTAGGCTAAAAATTCCATCCTTTAAAACCACGATCTCAATCTAAATTTAACTGGGCCCTTAAGGAAAAGACTTCAATGGGCCCATTAGGCCCATCAGCTTTCGCTTTTGAGTCACCCGAAACCCCAAAAAACACTTCCCAGAGTTCCCTCTCTTCGCGCTCACGCTCTCCCTCCCTCCATTATTCCCTTTTTTCTCCCGAAAAAGAAATCAAACCAAAACCCCACACCCTACTCATTCACTCTTGGATTCTTTGCCACTCTCACGCTTTCTCTCAAAAGTGCCGAAGAAAGAAGGAAGCAACAAAAGACGATGTGGTCTTTGATTATCTGGATCCTCTGTTTACTCATCAACTTGGGCCTCCTCGCTATCGTCTTTTACGCGGTATTCACTATATCCCTCTCCTCTCCTCTCCTTCTTAATAAACCCTAACTCTACTCTTATTCTCTTTTGCTGAATACTGAGCATTTTAGAGTTGAAGTTTCCAAGTTTTTTAATCGCCAGATTTTTAGCCTTTTTTTTTCATTTTATTTACTTGCTAAAATTAATTATTGATGTTAAAGTTTATATACATTGTGTGAATTTTGAATTTTGAAGTACTGTTTACTTTTCTATTCTCTAAATGTTATTTGTTACTTTTTTTAGATGTTAACGGTACCGCTGTACCTGTTTGGTTGCTTAAGGTTACTGATAAAAAAAAAAAAAAAAATTAGGGCAAAAATAAAATTCGAGGACGGTTAATTTGTGTGTTTATGGCATTATAGTTTTGATTGCGTGATTTGATGAGTCTATGGCCAATGGCATTAAGCGGATGCCTAAAAAGGGCTGACTTGTAAGCCAAGTCTAGTGTTCGATCTTTATGGTCAACATTCTTAAGAATTTAAACTACAAAGTAGTAGTTCATTGCTAAGCAAGTGTTGACTTGTAGAACAGATCTAGAATTCGATTTTTGTAACTAGCACTCTTGAGAATTCTTAATAAACCCTAACTCTACTCTTATTCACTTTTGCTGAATACTGAGCATTTTAGAGTTAGAGTCTCCAAGTTTTTTAATCGCCAGATTTTTACCTTTTTTTCATTTTATTTACTCGCTAAAATTAATTATTGATGTTAAAGTTTATATACATTATGCGAATTTTGAATTTTGAAGTACTGTTTACTTTTCTATTCTCTAATTATTATTTGTTACTTTTTTAGATGTTAATGGTACTGCTGTAATTGTTTGGTTGCTTAAGGTAACTGATAAAAAAAATATATATGGCAAAAAATATAATTCAAGGACGGTTAATTTGTATATTTATGGCATTATAGTTTGGATTGTGTGATTTGCTGAGTTTATTGCCAATGGCATTAAGTGGATGCCTAAAAAGGGATTATTGATAGAAGACGCATGGATATCATGCTTGGTATTTTGTTACTGTTGTATTTGCTTTCTTTTTAATTTCAATTTTTTTTTTTGGTGTTTGAAACTTGTAGCTTTTATGCTTAACGGACTTGGAGGTTGACCAGCTGGATCCATTTGTGGCGACGGCTAATATCAACAGGTGGATTCTGCCTGAGTTTGTTTTGCAAGCTGTACTCAGCATTCTTTTACTCTTGACAGGCCACTGGATCTTGTTTTTGTTGGCAGTTCCTCTTACTTGCTATCATGCAATGCTGTAAGTGTAGCAGATACTGATATAGTTCCTTTAACAAACTGTTATCTCTCCATATAATTCAGTGCATTTTTATATTGCCAAGTTGTTTTGCAACCTTAAACTGCAACAACTGGCCTCATCTTTGTACCGACTAAGAATTTGGTATGTGCGCATGCTTTACTTTACTCAGGGGATTTGTTATGGAAGCAGCTTTCCTGTGAGGTCCAAGTGAATTTTAAAGGTGGACAACACATGTACCACATGTGCTTAACCAAAAATATTAATGAAGAACTGAACAGTTTATACTCTTTTTTATTTACAACATGACTTGAAAACTGTTAGTATTGATGGCTGTCAGCCAAATCATGAATTTTAACTAGGACCACATTTTGCCCTGGACAATGCATTTGAACTTCTTTTCCTAACTACTAGTATTAATTAGTAAACCTTATGAAATGAAGGCTAGGCCATCCCTGTTTCCATAAGTTTTCATTTGTATTGGAAATACCACATTTTTGTTATTGCTTTGCACAGTTAAAGTTGGAGGATTTCATTGTGCTGGATCGCCATATGCATGAGATAGCAACCATTACCTCGAAGACATTTCTTTTACTATTTCACATGGGTTCATTGTTTACTTGATAATAATGATTAAATGATGGTCCCCTTGTAGCCTGCACCCCCTCACCATTTCTAATTCTGCCCCATAAATGTCCTTATCTTAGATCCAGTGCTTTGGATCAAGATTTTGGTTTTTTTCCAAAACTGTTAATCCTTTTCTGTTTGCCAATGATCTCAGTGCATGTCACCATTGTCATCGGAGAATCATCAACCTATCAGAAGAATTGGTGACTTTTTTTTTTAAGGCTCTCCATGAAATGGTCTAGCACTTTCTTAAGAGCAATGCTTTGGCCAATTTCATCGTAGCCATTCCCTCAAAATTGTAATAACCTTTTTGTCATTCTATTAAGTGGGAAAGAAGAAGTAGAGTTGTTTTCTTTTTATTCTATTTTCTGCAGCTTTCTTTTTTCCTCAAAGAATAATTAGCAGCTTTGAAAAATATTAATTATCAATTTTGTCTTCTGATCCCATGTGAGATATCTGGGAACATGATCTGTGTTACTGCTCAAAAGGAAACCAAATGGGAATATTATTCATTAAAAAAAGAAGACATGTTACGCTCATGCATTTGAAAATAAAATTGATAAATCATCCTTGTTGGGGCTAATTATATTCTTATATCACATCAAAACTTGTAATATGAGAATTTTGTTATAAAAATGACAATGACTGGCAAAAAGAAATAGAAAGTGAAAGGTCCCAGTGAGGTTCCTGACCCATATTAATTATGAATGTGTTTGGTTTAAGCTTTCTATGCTTGTTAAAATATTTATATTCACCCTCAATACTGCAGGTTTATTAGACGACAACATCTTATTGATGTCACTGAAGTTTTCAGAAATCTCAACACTGACAAGAAGCATAGGATGATCAAGCTTGGTGTCTACATGATCTTCTTCACAATTTGCATATTTAGGTTTGCTTTTAACTCAGTACATTACTATCCTGGTTTCTCATTAAGGACATATTTCTCTTATTTCTTGTTCTGATATAGGTTTTCCATTCTGTTTGGGTATAGAATTGGTGCAGGCATCTTAGCACTATTCAACTCTGAAGAATTAGATATCCACTCATCTTTTCTTGAGTTCTAGAAACTTACAATTATAAGCCTGGATGCTTAACTACTTTTAGTGCTTTGAAATAGGATAGCATTTGATCATACGAGGCTCCCAGGTTTATGTGTTTGTAGTTTCTCTTTTTTTTTTTCACAAAAAGTAATGCTGGCATAAAGTACTTGACCAATTTTTTGATTATTGCACCATTTCTTTTTCTACTCTGAATGCACAACTGTGCATAGAATTGACAGTAACACTCCAATCATGGCATTGAACTTCATAGCTTTTCTCTTGCACAGTTGTACTTGTACATATATTTATGTAACTATCTGTATATAATGAATCAGGCACTTTCATTTGTGAAGAATGTTAAGTTCCTACTTTGGCCAATCACTTACTATCATTGTTAAATCATCGACATAATAGTTTAGGGCACTTGATGCTGCTATTTTGACTTTTCTCTTTAAGTTCTCATTGCTTACTGCACTTTGTTAAGAGGCTAAGATTGTATATCTATGGGTTCATACTTAGTACATTGATAAACATCACATACACAGTAGAGGGCATGTTAGGGGTATGTAATGTGCATGTGATGCTAATCTGTTTTTGGCTTTGCTTTTCTACTAGATTACCATGATTGTATGTTAATAAATGACGTGATTAAAAAGGACTATTTAACCTCGCATGAGAGTATTTAAAAAACCATAACAAGTGGCATTCATTAACCATGCTTGGGTATCCGTTTTTGTCCAAGTATGAAGCTGACGTGGGACTGTGTTGAAGATTGAACTCAAGTATGAGTCTTCGTTTGACAAGAATATCTACTGTGAGTTGGTCTTTGTGAAATGCAATGAGAGTCACAGATCTGACTAGTTTTGAAGGTTTTATGTATTGGAAAGTTTTGCCAATTACCAAGCTTTTTAGAATATCTCAGAATATTGGAAACATTCAGATTCAGATACTGATATTTAGGAACATGAAATAGCATGTGTTTGTGTTGTGGCTTACCTTGTAGCGCAGCGCATAAGCCTCATGTTCTGGGGAGGACTAAGGAGGGAGGGGGTATTTGCTAGGTGTAGGATTTAAAGATGAATACTACAGGGCCAGTTAGGATATGATATGGCCTCCAGGATTCATCTTGGGGGTGTAGAATGTGTCTAGGCTGGTATTTTATGTTTGCATAAGAGAGTGTTATCTCTTTAACCACAGTTTTGCAAATTTTTTTCCTTAGCCAACATGTTTGCAAGGTCCTCTTTTACATTGCTTTTAGGTCCCAAGATATTTGTTGATTATTTGTGAATTCCACATGGATTCTGTGGGAGGGCTTTTCTTCTGTGAAGGGGTGGGAGTACCATTTTGTGTCCATTTACCCATAAGACAGTTGCTATCTGCCTTTTTGAAGGACCTTGAGCTCTCGCTCCCCTATGCTTATAATAAATTCTTCTTGCAGGGTTGTGTTGTTCGCTGTCAACTATATAATACATGACGACGACGACATTGATTCATTTTGAATATCAGTACTTGGAAGGGTTTTAGCTGCACATTGTAAGTGGGTTTTACATCTCTGATCCATACAAAAGGACAAGGAAACAAATTTTAGCCTAGCAAATTATGTCATCTGACCTTCTTGTTAAAAGGAGCTTCATCTAACTGTTTTCAATGCGGTTAGTTTTAACATCTAATATGCTTATTGATTCATAGAGTTGGTTGTAAGCTGAGTTTTACAATTAGGTAGTTCCCATGAAGATGTCCACCTATCACTGAAAAAATGGAATGCTACATGCATCAGCTAACATTGATGGATATCTTAGTTTCTTTCAAGTATATAATGGCCTGCATTTGAGTTCTCTGTTTTTCTTGATCGAATGCCTTATTTAAATGTCCTTTATCTGATTGATATGCATGTGTGTTCTCACAACTACCTGCATAAACATACAGGTAGCGTGCAGTCTCTTTGCTGCTTTTGTGGGAGTCAAATGTGTGTAAATTAGGAAGGGAGTGGAAATTTTTGAATTATATTTGCTTTCAATTCTTCCATTCTCGACACTGATTTTAGATCTCAATGCCTATGAAGTAACATTGAAATTAGGGTTGCAGTGCTGCCTGAAGTCTAACTAAAAATAGGGCTTTTACTCCTCAGAAAGAGTCGTCTTTGGGCCAGCACCAATTTGTTTGTCGAACTGGTTGGAGCTGAAATGGGTTCAAGTGCCATGATACGAGCTTAAATTAGCAATTAGCAAATTAAAGCTCCAATTAGCAAACAAATCGAACCCAAGTGGAGTTTCCAGTTTGGATGGGTTCTATATAAATATTGTACAGATTGAATGTAGCTCAGCTAGAGGGACAGGTACCGGAATCTTGCTTTTGTAATCGAAGCTCCTTTTAATCTCTCGATTAAATTTGAAGAATTTGGAGAGTCTGCCTTGAAAGCGACTGAAGTCAGGTTAGATGGTTTAGGTTGCCGATTTCAACTTCTCCTCCAAATCCGAGTTTAAGATGGAATAAGGCCCAGCCCAGACCTAGGATGCTGGATTAATGAGTTAGCTGGGCCTCGGCGAGGCTGTTAAAAACACAGCAAAATTTTAACTGCACGTAAGTTGTGTAACAAATTTGACTATAGCGTAAGCATGGGTCCGCTTTATCTTCCATAAGCGTCCTATGCCCGACATACGGCAGGCAGCTTGACAACTGCTAGCCCTTCTATGTACAATAAAAAAAGTTCTAATAATTAATTATTGGGCTCTTATGAGAACATCATGAGCTCATGGGGTTCACTTCTCTTGCTTTTCTCAGTCCGGTCCTAGTTCCGATGGGAAATTTTAACCACCTTGATGTGCTGTCCCTACAGCAACACACCAATTGGTTCGTGACCTTTAGTGGCATGTTCGGTCATTTTGAGGCCCTGGCCTTGACCACAGTTGTCTTCTACACTTCCTTTGTGGGCCAAGCATCATTAAGCCCTGTTTTGGGCTACAATTAATGGGTCTTATTGCGGTGGGTCACTTTCAAAGTGGGGCCATTAAGCAAACCAAATCTGACCGTCCGATGTACTAGCTGTCTCTGTGATAATTAATCTTAAGGACTTTGACGGAACTGGAAACTGTCTTTTGCTGTTTGGGACAATGTCATACGTGCTTAAGGTTTCACCACAGACTCTAATGTTAGGATGGTATGGGCTTCTGCTCTCATGTCACAACACAGCATCTTGTCATGAAAATTGTGTTACCTTTATTTAAAGACGTTTTGTAGTGTGTCGTTAAAACGCTGTCCTTGTCTACAGCTTCGTTGTCTACTTACGAAATTTATGCAGTGAAGCAAAAATAATATCTCAGTGAATCACTTGCCAAGGAATTATTGGTTCAATCGTCAAGGACTTGATGTTGAAATCCTATGAAAATGCCTGGATTACAATTATTGATTTATTTCCCCCCAAATTATATCAAATAGATGAATGCATAATTAGTTGGTTCCAACCAATAAAATGTGAAGATTTCCAATGATGTCTTAATCATTGTTCATGAGGGGAAACCCTCTCCAAAGATTTAATCCACATAGATAAGTTGTTGCTATCATTAGAGACAACCTTTCATTAGATGCTGATTCTTCTTACTGCATCATTATCACAACACTCCAATCTCTTTTAACTCTTTAATTAATTGCTGAAAATGAGGTCCATGTTACTTGTCAAGTTCACTCTAAATTCTTTCATTTCTTGACTAAGTTGAATGTGTGAAGATATCGTGTTTATCTAAGTTGAATTTGCTTCTCACGTTATCATTCAATAGTTAAATCTTTGAGGAAGATTGTGAGAAAAGAGATTTGTTGTGAAGGAATTAATTCGCCTGTTTATGGCTTATAAAACTTTATTAAAATGGACTTAATAAAACTGCTCCAAAAATACAAAATAATTGTTAAACGACGGTACTGGTTATAATTAATCAGCACCACATGCGTATGCCTTGGCAATCACCATCAACCATGCATGAGCAATATTACTACTAAGCACCATTCCCTTTCACAGTATTGAGTACACTCACGGGATCGAGGGTTACAGCCGCATTAGCCTCCTCCTACTCTCGTTGTCGATGTTTCCGCTGCCATAATCTCTTCCTTCACTTCCCCATACACCACTGCAATGCTGCCAACTTCACGTTCTCACATCCTTTTCAACATTGTTTTGTTCACAAAAACCGGTATAGCAAGATAAATTAGTCACACCGATGATATTACCAAACCTTGCCTTAAAGCACCACAGCCATTACTCAAAAATCATACATCCACTTATCTTCCTTCCAAATATGCCTTTTGGGTTACCTTGTTACTTCCTTCAACAACTTGAGGGTTGAAAATGACCTCTTCAGGGTAGGTCCTCAACTCTGAATTGGACAATTGTCCACGGTTCAATCTTTTGTATAAAGCTGTAGCTTTCTGTGACGCAGATATGCCCTAAACCCTGGCCCAGAGGAAAAGTCTGCATCATCCATCATTTAGCCCTAACAGTCTACCATATCTTCTATTAATTCAACTCCTAAACTTGTATCCAAATACATTTCTTTCTCTAATAATCTAAGTTCATACATCTAATAATTTAGAAAGTGTGACATTGAAATTAATACACGCAATTAAAACGTTAGGAACTGTAGTAAAATTTGTTAAACTAAAGAAAAATAATAATCTGTTAAGTGTTTTGGGAGGGGGAAAAAGAAAAATGCAAAAAGAGAACTCCAAACGACTTATGGGCCATGTCCACGTGAATAGCAAGGAGATTGAGGCCCACAGAATTGGACATTCTCATAGTCCTAATCATGGGATTTAATATGTGGATTTTGGGGTTTGGAAAAATCTTTTGTGGTCCGAATTTCCAACTCAGAATGAAAAGCTTTTGCGCTTAATTTATCAAATTTTAAGACCACATCTAGCTGCTGCTGCTTTTTTTTTTTTTTTTTTTTCTGGGTATAATAACATTTATTCATTTGAGGAATGTATGCCCATCACAAAGATCACCACCATACTTTTCTATTATCTTCTTTGGTTAT